TTCTTCTTCTTCTTCTTCTTCTTCTTCTTCTTCTTCTTCTTCTTCTTCTTCTTCTTCTTCTTCTTCTTCTTCTTCTTCTTCTTCTTCTTCTTCTTCTTCTTCTTCTTCTTCTTCTTCTTCTTCTTCTTCTTCTTCTTCTTCTTCTTCTTCTTCTTCTTCTTCTTCTTCTTCTTCTTCTTCTTCTTCTTCTTCTTCTTCTTCTTCTTCTTCTTCTTCTTCTTCTTCTTCTTCTTCTTCTTCTTCTTCTTCTTCTTCTTCTTCTTCTTCTTCTTCTTCTTCTTCTTCTTCTTCTTCTTCTTCTTCTTCTTCTTCTTCTTCTTCTTCTTCTTCTTCTTCTTCTTCTTCTTCTTCTTCTTCTTCTTCTTCTTCTTCTTCTTCATCATCATCATCGTCATCATTTTCATCATCTTCTTCTACTTAGGTCCGAAGGTAGAGGTCGCATCGCGGCAAAATGAAAGATGAACGCGCGGGTACGAAGTTAGATGGCAAAAGAGGATAATATAAAGGTCAAGGATGTAGGAAAAATATGGTGTGCATTTGCGGAATGTACGCGGACCACAAAGTCAAATCACATAATGATACATATTGCGTACTAAGCTTTTAGGATGTTATTATAAGGAAGAGACAGGATAATAGGAAGAGCTAAGGTAATGATAACAATTGCCCCTATGGATAGAAGAAATATTTATCTCTCGAGTGCCATAAATGCCTCAATTTGAAATAGCAGAACATTTTGCCATGTTACTTTAATGAATTTCACCGATTAGGCCCCGGCGATGGGATGATAAATCGTGGCTTCGATTAAACTTAAATAATCGACAAGTTTATCGATTATTGTTAGCTGGAATGTCGCATCGACACTAAACAATATAAGGTTGGTGCATTGCCAAGTAATAGGGCACATAATGTTTTTACAATGAGTCGACGTAGCGGCATAATAAATTATGGTTGCGGGACGGTTTACTTTATCGATCGTTTATAATAAATCCATGGCCGATATTTACAATTGCGGAAAAATAAGATAGAATGATAAGCGTTTGCAAGGACAGACGCGGCGGCGAATGGACTACTAGAAGAAGAATAAAAAAAAAAAAAGAAGAGGGACAAGTAAAACAAACGGAGAAAGAAGTCAGGAAGAGCAAATAAGAAGAAGAAGAAGAAGAAAAAAAAATAAGAAACGAATAAGGTTCAGGGTCAAAAAGGAGAAAAGGAACGAGAGAGATAGATAGATTGAGGTAGTAGTGGGTATGGGGCGCGAAGGAGGGGTGGGCGGTTCAGGTTCGGTTCCTACAGGGTATAACCGGTTTCAATGCTCGTTGCTCGGACTCTCCTCTACCGGTGCACGAGCGCAATACACGCAGATAAACGCATACGTGGACTCGCGCGCGCGTATTAAGCCGCGAGGAAGAGAGGACGTAATAACTCAGGAAAGAGAGGGCCGAGGAGCTCTTCGCCTCCTCTTCTACATTCTACATCACGCGCCCTATATATTTCGGAATATACGCGGACGAATGCGTAGCTCCTCGCCGCGGCCGCAGACCTATTTTACGTTTGGGGACGACCACCACCGCCCTCAGCCGCCAACCCCTCGACTATGCAATTTGGACTCCGTGGCTTTTTCGACTGGCGGCCAGGGCCCTCGGCGACCTACCTCCCCCGTCCCTCGCTTATTCCTTCTGTGCTTCTTATCATACGAACGTGACGAGCACACGCGCGCACCCAGCCAAAGCCAACAACTACTCTCGCGCCGGATACTCGATCGCAGGTGGATGCTGCGTCGCGTTGTTTATTCTCATCTCCCTCATCTTTTTTCATCTCATCTCTTTTCTATTCTCGTTTTTCATTTATTTATTTATTTATTTATTTTTTTTTTTTTTCCTTTCTTTTTCCATTCTTTTTCTCTTTTCGATCAGTGCGTCACTTATTTTTCTTTCAGATTTTATCGCTTATATTACGTATGTGTTTGGTATTTTCGTTCTCTCCTCTTCTTCATTTCGTTCTCATTGCTTGGCTTGTCCCTCGATGTTTGTATACTGTTTTTTATAAACGGGGACCAACACGATCGAATCCGGAGATGGGAATAATACTTTGTTGAAGGGCCTTGGTTAGACATATCTCGGGTGTTCCCCGATGACGCGTGTATCGAAGGATACCTATTTCGAACCTTCGAAAGCGTTCCCTCGCAAATCACGGGGCATTATATTCTCTTTGATGATTCACGTTTAATTGATACCATAAGGGGCGCCATTGTTCGAATGATGACGTTTACGATCATCCGAGTAACCTAGCATCCGTAGAATTATGGGCGTTTTTAAGGGGCGATAGAGCGAATCGATGGCTATCTCAAAACTAGTCGCTAGTCGTCCTCTATCATGGCCGAGCGCTCCTCGCCAAGTAATTACCGTACAATGCATCAAAGCGTCCGCGGGACGGGACGACTCGCGTGTGTTTCGGTAGAGCCGTGGTGGAGCGATGGGTT